AGCAGTGGAGGGGGCTGCCGACTCTGGCAGCCTGATCTCTGTAATTGACCATCACACTTGTCTGAGTTTTGAGTTGAACAGTTGAAAATGTACTTGTCTCTTGAGTACAGCATGGCAGACTTGACTCTGTCGGCTTCCCTTCTTTTATTCCAGTTGTGGAGAGAAGGGGGATTTAGGAAAAACATCTGGGCTGAAAGCAATGGTAATATCTGAGCATCATCCACGTAAAAAAGGCAGCAATAGCAATGTTCTTGGTAGACATCCTGGAGCATTCTCCTCAGATGAGGGCTTGCAACTAAGAACAACTATTTTGTGTACAAAAATCCTGGTGAAAAACTTTTGGGCTTGTAAAGGTGTACTGAGAAGATTTATTAGTGGAGGGGGGTGTTTATTTTTAGTGAAGACTCTTCCAAAGACAGAGATTTTGCTGTTTCCTGAAGGTGTGACAACCCTGAGTTTCCGCTGGCATGTGAAAGTCCATGCCACGTACGGAGCTCTTTATCGTGAATACTTCATCCTTGGCTCACACAAGCTTCCTGCAGCACGCTGCAACCCAAGTATCCTAAATTAGCGCCATTGCCCTGCGGTTTGCTGGTCAGAGTTCCTCTGTCATCTTGGTAGGACTGTGCATTGCTTTGGAAAGGTAGACACAAAACCTTAAATTAGCTTCGGAAGCTGACTTGGAGGGCTGCGGGAAGTCTTGCAGCTTGTCTGTGAGCGCAGGTGGAGGTGCAGCGAGTTGCAGAAAGCCAAACATTTGTCATCTCCGATCTGAATTACAGGCTTGCCTGTGGGGAAGGGGTGATACTTTCCGACACCGGAGGTGAAAGGAGGCACAGATAGCTGTGCATACCACTTGTCTCCTAAGCTTAGTACGGAATTGCAGCATCTTGAACTTCTATACTACTGTTAGGAACTGGGAGGCTGAGCGCAGACAGGAGATGAAAACAGTGTCTTGGCTATGCCCTTGAGCCACTCGGCCTTTCAAATCAAACTCGAATTCAGTTTGCGCCTATTGCCAGTCACCTAAAAGTTGGCATTTTTGGAATAGGGGCGTTCTAGAACTGATGGTAGTGAGTGTATAAAGGGGTTTGCGAGCTGCCTGGGCAGGAGGTGCTTGCTTGCAGGATGTTTTGGAAAGGCAGAAATAACGTGGATTTTTGCAGGACCTTCAGTGAAGAGTAGTCACCTACATATTATGCTCTGAAATACACTGATGCAGCGTGGCGGTTCTTGCTGTAATACAGTGTCTTGGTTTACTGGTGGAGTATTGAATCTCCCTGCAGCCTTCAAGAGTGAGGCTTAAGGGTGGAGATCTTGTCTGTCACCATAACACTGAAGTAATTTCGTCATTGCTGGTAGTGTGGTCTCCGTGCAATACCTAGTTGTGAACAGTCGTCTTTGACGAGTGCAAGGCAACAAAGTTTATATTTTGTTTTGAAATAAAGCTTTACCTGCTTCCATTGTATGGGGGTTACTTTTGTAAATGGTGAATTTTATAAATGCTTTTCACACTAATACCTTAGTAAATCGCTGGATAAGAAGTTGCATACTTGTAGCTTTAAAAAGGTAAATATTGGTAAAACGTACAGAAGGCTCTTGCTTTATGTACTACTGCTGTTTTTGAAAGGAGGCTAGTTACTTAAAAGGATTGGTTGTTTGCCATGATATGTAAACTCTGTTCCTCTGGGTTAAATGTGGATGAGCTCTACTTCAGGTTGGCCAAGCGCAGACTATCTTGCTCCTTGTTGATGTCTGCTTTAGTGCCGTGAAGCTGGCTTTAGCATTCTGGATGCATTTGTAATAGGCTTTACTTGTAAACTTGTACATTTACTTGCAATTTGACTATTACATAGCAAAAATGCTATGGTTTAGCTTTTTTTTTTTTTTTAATTTTCCTTACAGCTTGTTCAAAAGTCTGGGAAATAGAAGAATCCATAACTGGAAATACTCTTACAGTACTCCAGGCTGAGGTGGAGGTGCTGCTTACTAAACCAGCAGAAAACATCTGCCCTTTGGGGCCAAGTTAGTTTTTTGTCATCGTGGTGAGCCAAACCGGCGCGTGGCGTGGTCGGGCAAGGGCCGGAGTTGGCACAAAGGGGGTGCAGGGATAGATGAACTACCACTTCTGTTGCCAGCTGAGGTCTTTAACTTGTTGATCTGCAAGTGTTGCCTAGTAATGGGCTTTAGATAAACCACTGGAAGGTGAAAACTTTGGCTTTGGGGAAGCAGGACATCTGGGTTTGATTTCAAATCCTGCTGCTCATGACTTAGAGGGCTAAGTACGTGTTTACTCCATCCTTTTCCCCTTGGTAAATTATGCGGTTCTTCCTGAGAGCTTGTAAATATTCAGCACCTGCATAATGACACTTTTACCTCAAAACCTGTGCCATTAAATACAGGCCCAAAGAGAAGGTAGCATCTCTGGTTTGGGGTAGGCTCTTGCTAACTCTAAATTTGTCTGTGGGAAGTGGGTGGATTTTCCATTTCCCCTGAAGCAAGTAAGAAAGGCTTTGCCGTAAGGACTGGGAATATGTGGACTGTAAGTTCTCTTTCAATTGAAGAAATAAAAGATCTCAAGGAGCTACGTGTGTTACATATTCTTTTTGCATACTATTTTGTTACTAATTATGTTGTTTATGCTTGGAGAAGAAAGGTGGGGTTTGGTGGAGTTTTTTTGATTCCTAGGGAAGAATTTGTATTCTGACTGACTTTATTTTCGTCATGCACCTTATGTCCTATCTTTGAATTGGCTGGATTTTTTCACAGTTCACATTACTTTCAGAACAATACTTCCAGGCAAAGTTATGGTGCTGAGCAAGTGCGTTTTGTTCTTTTTATTGACCCAACCTTAATGTATTCAAATACTTAAATATTTTTTCTCGGTATGGATCTGTTTTTAATAAACCAGTATGCAGAATGCCAGGGTTGGCAGGGAAATGAATGCAGTTATTTTGGAAAATTGTTTCTCTGTCGTTTGAGAGGCAGCTTGTACCTATTTGGATTTTTCAGCAAGTGTTGAAGTTGGGGTAACAAACATAGGCTGTGTTGGCTCCGTTGATTCAAGATGTGGCCTACGTGAGCAGAGCAAGAGCTGGACAATCCCTGACCCTTTTTTGTTCCAGAAATCATTTGTGCCTTTCTTAAAACTGGAAGGTAATTGGGTGAGTAAGCGTTAAACCTGAGAGGTGCTGATGAAAGTGAGAGACACTGAGAATACCAAAGGCAGGAGAACTTTTAAACGTAAAAACTGAATATATTTCCAAATTTAGACAGGGCTGAAGAGGGTAGAGGGTGTCTTGGTAATTTGGATACAATTAATGTTGTGTTGATGCTTTATTTTGAAGCATCTGAAGCCTGAAAAAGGTTGTTTGGGGCTTATTAGTATTATTGCCATGTTCTGCCTAAGCAGTCTCTTCTGTTGTTCACTCTCTGTATGCTGTATTTCTGATTAGAAGTTGCAGTCGAAATTTGTACAGACGGGAACTCAAATGAAAAGCTCTAAAAGCAAATGTGTTTCATATCCAGAATTAAAAATGTCACATTGCTATGTAACTGGATCTAGATCTCTCACGAATACTGTGCTGAGCCATTTTGGGAGGACGCTTCAAATGTGTGGTGTTCCCCAGCTGATCACGCTCCTCATGTGGGTTCTGCAAGCTGATCTCTCTTATTCATGGTGTTTAAAAAAAAAAAAAAAAAGGGAGGGGGCATTTTGTTGAAATGCTTGGTTTGAGAGGTCCTGTTAACCTCTAAGGTAGATTTGGAAGATCATGGGTAGGTGAGGATAGTGGTAAGTAAATGACCAAATGAGGGAGAGTGTTTGACATGGGATGCACTAAGTTTTGGGGGTTTTTTTAACCTCCTTCGTTAATAACATCACAGACTTTTCTAACTTTTCACTCACAATAATGCCATCTCTGACTTTTCACTTCATTTGGTGGAAGCTGATTATTGTTAAATTTGGTAGCTTTCTCCAGTTTTGCCTCTGAAAGAACATATGGGAGAAATGTATTAAATTAAAAAAGAAAAAAGCTTGGAGGAGGAGGTGGCAGAGGTAAACAGGTATACTCAGAAACAGCTTGGCACTATCTATTTCAGGGATGCTCCTGTAAAAGTGTTGGCATGCTTAATGGCAAGGAATAAAAGGCCTCTGCATTTCAGCATTTGTGAAGTCCAAGTTTCAGTACCAACGAATGGCTTAGATAAAAGGAAAGTAGCTCTGCCAGCTAATAGATGACTGTAGTCCAGAGTTTGTGTGCTTTTATCTCGCTTCCAAGCCAATTTCATAGAATACTGTAATAGTTAATCACATCTCGCTGGATTACAGCATGTGCTGCTCTACCCCTCTTAGCTTGGTAACCTGCCTCCAATTTTTAATGGTAAACCCCGAGTAGGTTTTCTGTTCTTGGAGGTAAACCTTTTCACAGCAAACCTCACCCGCTGGTGGAGGAAGCTGAAGGCAGTTCGTGGCAGGCCCTGAGCGTGGCAGTGTGTAGCTTGTCCCTGGACAGCTTTCTCCCCGCACAGCCGTTTGTGTGCAGTTGCCTCCCAGACTTTGCCACAAGTTTGTATCTTGAGGCAACTCCATTTGTGTAGCCGGGATGCCGGCCAGATGCCGTAAATGTTTATACAATAACAGCAAATGAAAATCCCTTTACATTCTGCACAGCTTCCAGATGTCTGTGTATTGTGGGGATTTTTTTGTGTGGCGTGTGTGTTGGATTCCACCTTTCTCTTTGGAGATGTTTATCTTGGGTTGAAAGACCAACTTGGCATGTCTCTTCTGGTGTTGGCGTTTTCGTGTCAACATGAGCTGTGGACAAAGCATCAGGGGTGTGTGCGTTGGGGAGGTTGGGCACTAACGATGCTGGTCTGTGCCCTTCAGAGCTTGGAGAAGGTCTGTGACTACATAGCCTCACAGAATTGTTAGCTAATTTTTTTTTTTATTGCTGCATGTTGTAATTTAGCCAGCGAAATCTAGGCTATGAAGCAGCCCTATCCTAAAACGTATGCCTGAAGATGCTTAACATTGCTTATAGACTGTATAGCCGTAAGTGAGCTAGCTTTAGGGCTTGACAAGAGGAATATTTGGGACAGCATGGGCATCAGACATTGAGCGTTAACCCGGGGGGCTACCTAGTCCATAGCTGCCTGTGTTCCTGCGGTGTGTGGTACTAAAAGTCTGCAATACTTCTAACATGGCTAAAAGTATCCCAGCTAGCTTCAGCGTAGTGGTGTGTGCTGCTGTCGTGCCTCTGGCCTGAGCTATGGATCTGGCGGTGCTGGGATAGGCTGTAGATGTCTGTTTTTTCCACGTCTGAGTACTGAAGGCTTGCTAAGCTGTGCTGCTGCAGTTCATGTGAACAGGCTGGTTTCGAGTATCGCAGTCTCTGCTCCAGTTGTGGTGGTTGCCCGCTCATTTTTGTCAGACACAAAATGCTGGTTGCCTGCTCATGTAAATCAGCAACGAAGGGCAATAGTACATAAAAACGCTTTCATTAGCAGCCCTGTGCTGTGCTGTATCACGCTAGTTTGATACCAATGCCCTGGATAGGAAAAGTGGCCTCAAGTTTGAAGAACAGGCTTGGGAGATTCTGAAGAGGCTGCTTCTGTATGAAGGGGTGTAATATTTTGGTGTTTTTCTTCCCCTGTCTGTTGCAGCAGACTAATTGCTGATTGGACTTCAGGAACCTGAAGCCTGCTGAACTCCCCAGCCCCTCTGCTTTCCACCATGGACCAGGATTACGAGAGACGTCTCCTACGCCAAATCAACATACAGAATGAAAACACAATGCCTTGCGTAAGTACGAATGGGCTATGCTAAATGGTCTTAGTCTGACTATTAAGTTGTTGTCTTCTTGCCTGTGACTGTTTTCACTTGAGCTTTTGAAAGATACGGGACCTCTTTGCAGCCAACCTTAGTCTTTTGTTGGGGGGTGAGCAGGTGTGAGTTCCTGAGCTGTTCTAGGAATAACCAAATAACTTGACTTCAACAAAGCTTTTGAACGTATAAACTCAGTTCAGGTTGCAAAAAGGAGTTAAGATATTTTTATGTAGCTCAGTAATGCCTTTTTACTAAATAATCTCAGTAAGTACATGTGGAACGTAAAAAGTTGGGGGATAACAAACAAACCAACTAACTGTAGGGCTTGACAAGATAGAGCAAGTCCAGTGGAGGCCACCAAGGTGGTCTGGGGGCTGGAGCAGGAAGATGCTGAGACCTGTGTTGCTCAGCCTGGAGAAGATGAGGCTCAGGAGTGATGAAATTGTTGCTTTCAACTGCCTGGTGGGTGGTTATGGAGAAAATGGAGTCAGACTCTCTTCAGAGGTACACCGTGGAAGGATTAGAGGCAATGAACGCAAGCTGCAACAGGGGGAATTCCAGTTAGATATTAGGAAAAAATGTTCACAGTGAGGGAGTCCAAACACTGCAACAGGGAGCTTGTGGGGTCATTGTCCTTGGAGATGCTAAAAACTCAACTGGATGAGGCTGTGACCTTCAATGTAACTTTGAAATTAGCCCTGTTCTGAGCTGGGGTCCTTTCCAACATAAATTATTCTACGAAAAAGAATGTGACTGCAGTTGAGAAATCTGCTGCTCACCCTGCAAGCAGTCTGCCCCACTCCAGCCTTCCATGTGTTTGCCTTGACAATGTCAGCTTGAGAAGGAGCAGTGAGAAAGAGGCTCTTTAATTGCTTCTTTTGACAGAAGTTCCCATGACAGTTGGACTCTGACATACTTACTAGTTCTGTTAAGGGGATAAACTAATGCTTGGCTCTTCTACTTTGACAAGACTCTTCAGCTTTGACAAGACCTCATTGACGTTTTTCAGACCCCTGCTGTGATCAACACTTGTTCTTGTGTGTGTCTTACTCTTTAATTCAGGTAGCAGAGATGAGAAGAACCCTGACGCCTTCCAATTCTCCAATGTCTTCTCCTAGTAAGCACGGTGACAGATTCATTCCCTCAAGAGCTGGGGCCAACTGGAGCATCAACTTCCACAGAATAAATGTAAGTTTTGCTCCCCTCTCCTACAGCTCAGTCTTGGAACTGAGGAAATGGTGCGTTTTGTTTTGGCTGGTATAATTGCTCTGCTTATCTTCTGCACCATGGTCTTCTGCTGCCCCAAAAGAGTTCCTTTGAATGCATGTCTTCAAACAGGCTGCCCCTGTGGTCCAGGAGACTTCTTCGTTATTTTACCGTATATCATGAGGTTTCTGTATGGTGATAGCATGTTTCTCCCTTTCAGGAAAATGAAAAATCACCAAGTCAAAACAGAAAAGCAAAGGATGCTACATCGGACAATGGCAAAGGTGAGACCACCTTTCTACCGCTTGTGCCACACCTATAGCTTTTATTTCAAACTGTTGGTGAGTTTTGAAATCAAGGGAACACTGGCACTTTCGTGCTTATGCAAAAACTCATGCTGGTGTTGTAGGAAATGCCCACATCGTGAGAGTGAATACCAGGTCACCTCAATAGGCTTCTGACAAGCATCTGGGAAGCGGGAGGCTATTTGTATCCCTTGATTTATTGTGCCATGGAAGCACTTTCCTGATGGAGTGGAAGGAGGGGAAGCTTGCTGCTAACCCTGATTCCAAACTGGGGCCCCAGGCTTATTACGAGGCCCTGTGAATGTACAAGTCAGGCAGACACGATCCTGCCACTCCCTGCAGAGCTGTTTGCTGCTTCCGAGTTCTCTGCCTAAGCGCTCGTTTGGGTTCACAGATGGCCTTGCTTACTCTGCCTTGCTGAAGAACGAACTCTTAGGAGCAGGGATCGAGAAAGTGCAAGACCCACAGACGGAAGACAGGAGGCTGCAGCCATCCACCCCAGAGAAGAAGTCTCTCTTCACTGTAAGTTGGCTACTTTGCATTAAAACCAATGGAGGTTGCACGTGTGCGTCACAGGAACAAAGCACACGGTTCTGCCAAGCTGCTAGTGCAAGTGAGTTAGTGTTGTGGCTTGACTAAGATAAGCTGTTGATAACAAAATTTGGTGGCCTGTAAAGAGAGCATAAGTACCTGCAGCAAGCCATGTGCTTCCTATTTCTGTACTGGCAGGGAAGCCGAGTTGGAACCAAGCTTTTTTGGGCAGTGTGGTAAATGACCAAATCAAGCTTTTGGACTTCAGTGGAGATGAGGGTTTTTTGTATGGTTCCGGAGCACCTGGGAAAGGGAGGAACTGAAAAGTCTGGAAAATCTGACTGTGGGTGTTGGAGTTAGCTAGGCATCGGGCACCAGTGCGTGTTGTGAGCGATCCCCTAGGTTTTGGGCATGCTGGGGTTCTTACTAGATGTGTTTTCTTTATGCAGTATTCACTCAGCACAAAACGCTCTAGTCCAGATGACGGCAACGAGGTCTCACCGTATTCCCTGTCTCCTGTCAGCAACAAAAGGTAATACTGATTCTTCACAGGCTGTGAGAAGGGAAGGATTGGGACAGAGGATTCAGTGAGGTTCTCTTTCTAAGGCACCCAAAATTGCTATGTGAATTGCTTTTGGAAATCTGGGGAGATAAGTAGGGACAGTCAAGTTCTGCAGGTGCCCAACCTGCCTGGATACTTAACGTGTCTTGGCCAACTTTCAGTATCAGTTTACCTTTTTGCTCCCTCGCTCCTTTATAGAAGCGGAACCTAATTCCTTCCAGTCTCACCTGCTGGAAAGAATTCTGCGGCCTCTTTGTCTGTGCATTTCTATAGAAATGCAGGTATGCTTCAGAGAGCAGCTACATCTGTGTCTACCATCTGCTGTGATGTGTAAAATCCTATAGTTGTTTTTATATCTGTTTTTGTAAACAGTCAGAAGCTGCTAAGATCACCTCGAAAACCAACTCGGAAAATCTCAAAGATTCCTTTCAAAGTGCTGGATGCCCCAGAGCTGCAGGACGACTTCTACCTGAACCTGGTGGACTGGTCCTCTCTTAACGTCCTCAGCGTTGGCCTTGGGACTTGTGTTTACCTATGGAGCGCTTGTACTAGCCAGGTAAATGACCATCAGTGTTCGGAGAATGAAATACCTGTTGCTGTAGGTCTTTTCCAGCCATAGCATCTTTCAGAGCTATGGAACATGCTGTGTGAGGGATTCAGCACTTGTAATGCTCTGTCCCAAACTAGGTACTAGTCTGCGAGACAGCTAATAGTGTAGTATGACAAAAACAAGTGTTTCTTATTCCGTTCTGTCCTACTTTCAAGGTAACCCGACTGTGTGATCTCTCTGTGGAAGGAGATTCTGTAACATCGGTGGGCTGGTCAGAACGGGTCAGTATAACATTGTTGACAATGACAGCTGAAACGCTTGTAATTTAGGCACTGTCATTGTAACCATGTAGCTCTTCCTCACAGGCTTTAACTTCTTGGGTTATTTTCCCCAAACTCCCTGTATGCATCACAAATCACGTGTGTTCTCCTCTCTGCACTATTTTTCTCCGCTAAATGAGAGGGGACAGAGAGCAACCTCTTGTATCTTGAGGTTCTCGAGGCATTTGCTAAGAGGTGTGGGAGGGAGAAAGAGCCAGTTCGCTTCTCCAGCTCTTGACAATAAAATGTTACAATAAATATATTCCAGCCAGGCTGCTTGGCCCTCTCAGTAGGGAAAAGATGTGAGATGGGAGAACTCTGGATGCTTTCTATCTTGTGGGATTTATCTCAAGTCTTTTCCTCAGCTTCTAGCTTTTGTTTTACGTCTGTCTGTACTTACTGGCTTTACTGATCATGGTTTTCTGTTTGTCTAGGGGAACTTGGTAGCCGTTGGCACTCACAAGGGCTTTGTACAGATCTGGGATGCAGCTGCAGGAAAAAAGCTCTCCATGCTAGAGGGGCACACAGCCAGAGTCGGTAAGGAGGTGGGAGGCAGAGGTTTCACATGTTTCATTTCTTCATGGTTGAACTTTTTCCTTGTAAGTGAGGGATCTGCTTGAAATAACAGAACGCAAAAAAAGTACCAGAATTGATATTTATCCCCTGCTATAAGGGGGAAGCAGTCTTCAAAATATTATTATCTAGTAATTGTGGTGTTCTGATCTTGGGCGTGGTGGTGTTTGAGTATTGCAGCAGGTGTTTCCTCCATGTCTGAGGCATTTTAGGTTAGGTTACAACATCTTTTTTTACTGCCACTGGCTTCCGGTTTCAGCCCTGCAGGCAGGCTGCTTTACACTGAGATTTCCAGTTCCCTTATTCTGTGGGGACTATTTTATTTTTTTTTTTTTTTTCCTCTCAGAGGCATTTTGAATTTGAACGCTGGAGTGAGATTTCGGAAGTCAAGGCACCTTCTGAGTTCTATTTCTGTGCTTTACTGCACTGCGAAATGGGATTAGTGATACCTTCAGTAAGTTTGTGCAGGTTAATCTTTCTTTGTACACTATTCTAGGACTTCAGGCAGTGGATATAAGGAAGGTCCGTAAGCACTGATTTATTTATGGATTTATTTATTTATTTTTAAACCTTGGCAACTGTGTTGGAAGGAACCTGTGTTCTGCCTGCCCACTCCCGCAGGACTCCCACAACGTACTCTTATGCTCTGCCTGCGTTACAGGTGCCTTGGCATGGAACGCGGACCAGCTGTCTTCTGGGAGTCGAGACAGGATGATCCTTCAGAGGGACATCCGCACCCCACCCCTGCAGTCTGAGCGGCGGCTCCAGGGCCACAGGCAGGAGGTCTGTGGGCTCAAATGGTCTACGGACCACCAGCTCCTGGCCTCTGGAGGAAATGATAATAAGGTATAGTACTTCCAAGGAGTCACGTGAGGCTCCATGTCTCTAGATCTTCACCGAGAAATGTCAGACCCTCTTTCTTTAAGGATATTTGGCCTCTCTGAAAGGGGCTTTTGTTTCAGTTGTTGGACTGTGTCCAAACATAAATCATGCTAAGCTTCTACTCAGTCTCCTCTCTCTAATAAAATTAAAAAGGCAAATTTAATTTTGCTTCTGTATTTGGCTAATTAAATCTATAGCTTGACTCAGGGGTTTGAGTTCAGCAAAGCTACTGCTAAGCTGTACTTCCTGACATTGTTTAGGTAGTGTATAGTCAGTTTGTTACAATAATGTTTATCTATGCAGAAGGAAACTGAGTTTAGAGCTGTGTAAGTTCTAATACCTATAATGCAGGCTTGTAGTTCACTGAGCACCATATGGAAGAAGCATCTGTTACGGAGAAGCAGTGTTCAGAGCCCTTTGGAGCGGGTTGCTAGGTAGTGAATTTGCCCAGCATCTGTGTGACAGCACGGTTGTACCGAGTTCCTCCTGCTCAGAATAACTTCTAATGAACTTGAGCGTATTTCTAAATGTGTTCTGGAATAACACAGCCACAAAGACAAAAGAAGGTTTGAGTTCACGTTCAGTGACACTGTGTCTTTGGCTTCGTAAGCTTAACTTAAGGACTGTTGGCTTCCTTGTGGCCCAGTTGGTAGAATGGCTCCTCAGTTGAGTGTGGTGGCAGAGGTGGGACTGGCTTCAGGGCTGCAAGTGCAGAGTGGAGATGCAGGTGCTTGGGCAGAGCTGTGGGAAATCGTCTCGTTGCCCAACTGCCCTCATCAGTCCCAGTGCAACATCGTGGCTTGTGGGTGTTGCAGACACATGACTGCAGCACAAGTCTGATCACGTCTCTCCTCTCTGCCAGCTCCTTGTCTGGAATCACTCCAGCCTGAGTCCTGTCCAACAATACACAGAGCATCTCGCAGCAGTAAAAGCTATCGCATGGTCTCCCCACCAGCACGGACTCCTCGCCTCCGGCGGAGGGACAGCTGACCGCTGCATACGCTTCTGGAACACGCTCACCGGGCAGCCTTTGCAGTGCATCGACACTGGGTCGCAAGTGTGCAACCTGGCCTGGTCGAAACACGCCAACGAGCTAGTAAGTTCCTCCCTGTGCAGTCCTGCTGCTGAGCTGTCTTGTGTTAGGAAGCATGATGCATATCTCCCTCTCCCCTTTCAGGTGAGTACCCACGGATACTCGCAGAACCAGATCCTTGTCTGGAAATACCCTTCGTTAACTCAAGTAGCAAAGCTAACAGGACACTCGTACCGAGTCTTATATCTGGTAAGCAATGGCCATGTCTCTGAAAACTTCTGTAGCTGCGCGTGTGCTGAGATGAGACCCAAAGCCGCAGTGCCAGTGGCACTGTGAGCTGCCTGTAGTCTAGGTGGAGATACGAATGCTGCCCTACAAGCAATGAAAAACGCTCTGTATCTGGTTTCCTTGCCTGCAAGGGATACTTTGATTTGCTGCTATGGAAATGTGAGGCTTTATTAATGAATAGCAAAGCCTGCCAAAACTCTTCTGAGGAAGCACAAGCGTCTCTTCTTGTTCCCTTAAGACTTGTACGCTTTTTCACTGGTGACTGCCAGCAGGGGACAAATTTGATGCTTTCAGCCCTCCTAATTTGTCATTAAAATGCTTGGTGCAGTTAATCCACACTGATCTCGTACCTGCTTTGTTACTGCTACGTAGGGCTTTCAGCAGATTCATAACAGAGATGATTAATATGCCGATACTGTTTTGTGAGGTAGATTCCAATGTAAGTGACTAATAGAGCTGGCAAATACCAGTCATATCACACTTCCTGCCTTAACACATATTTATAATCCGGGGAGGAATAGCCTCAATTACAAATGGCTTGGATTTGTTAACACAAGATTCCTTTTTATGGTAATTCCACCCATGTATTCCATAGCTGCATAAGTAAGATGCAAGTGCTCGACTTGGCACCTGCTGAGACTGAATAAGGCACGTGAAAGCAGAGGTAGTTGTTTGTTTGGTTTCTCACCGTCAGCCAAGTAGGAAGGAGAGTTAAATATCTCTCATGCATTCCAATGAAGATGTGTTTTCAACCCCAAAAATGTAACAGATGCTAAAGGTTGCTCTCTCTTGGCCTTAGGCAATGTCCCCTGATGGGGAGGCCATAGTTACAGGAGCTGGAGATGAAACCTTGCGCTTCTGGAATGTCTTCAGTAAAACTCGTTCGACAAAGGTAAGGATGCGTTGTGTGGACGCCTGCAGCTGTGTCCTGCAGGAGGCTCAGCCTTTGGGGCTGAATTCAGTCCAAGTTTGCTCTGTTCTGCTGCCTTGCCTCTGATCTCTTCACCGTGTCCTGCGGATCGAGGGCTGGATGCAGTGAAGGGTTAAACTTTGAGATAGAAAGGGATTTGTAGTCACCAGATGAAATAAAAGGTTGCCTCTGTGTGCCCAAGGCAGTGTGACAGAACATCCTTCTCCTGGCTGTTACAGGGCTGCTGAACGTAGCAGCATTTCAGGGACCTCACCCTGAGCCCACCATCTTCCTTGCTAGCATGCTGCTATGAACTGACCCGGTCCTCAGAGGTGATTATCTCCTCGCTCCTTAGGAAACTGCTTAAAATGGTGGCTTGGGTGGAAACAGGGTCGTGGATGCTGCCACTGCCAACTCGCCATCACGGAAAGCGGGTTGTGCCAGATGCTCTGAGAGCTTTTCTGGGTGTCTGGCAGAGGCAGCGGAGAATGGCGGAGAGATCTTAAGGAATGAGCTGTGGGGAGCTGGCGTTGCTCACTGCTGGGTGTCCCCCTGGTTTCTGACGGCTCAGGGGTAGAGTTTCCCGCAAAGCTGTGGGAGCGGCACACTTGCCTGCCGTGCAAGTTGTTATCAGTTGGAAAAAACCCATGGGAATATTTATGGCGTTTATGGTGAGCTCAGATCATGCCCTGAGCTAGAGATACCTCACCAGTTTAGCAGTTGTTTTATTTAAAAAACCCCACCAAACCAAAAGCACATGGAGTAACGCTGCGGCACAATGTGGAGTACTTAGCACCTGCTTTGTCTTTTCTCCTCAGGAGTCTGTATCCGTTCTCAACCTCTTCACCAGGATACGATAAACCCCATGTACTGCGACCCAGGAGACTACAGCCTGACATACCAGGATAAAACCACTACCTTGGTGTGCATGGAACCCCAAACGATCAGCCAGAAGGGAAGGGAGTGCCAGTGGGACTGGAGGATGGACCTAACGGATGCTAATTAAAATACGTGCTTGTGAACCACGCTGGGCGGTATTTGGGATGGGGTTGGGGAGGGGAGGGAACTGCCAAAGGTTTACAGATTCATCCTTCGTAAAGGGAAACGGGTACAAGAGAAATGTTAAACCAGCATCCTCCAACCCTCGCGTTGTATCCTGGAGAAAACATGTGTGACATGGACCATTGAGACCGGACCAAGGCCATCCCCGCTGCTGTGTTGTCCCCTCTTGGGAGAGATGAGAGTATCCTTGCCTCTGTGGGAACGGGTTTAACGTGCTGCTCTGGGTCCCTCTGTCCTCGGGTGGACATCTGTGGAGGTAGGAGCCAGCCAGACTTGTTCAATACAACTGGTGCAAGGGGGCTAAACTCCAGGCTGGGCGTTAGCCTCTCTGATTATCTAAGGACATTGTTTATAGCCTGGCATCCCCGTTACATGAAGAAACTGGAGAACTGCTTATTTTCCTTTTTTTTTCTTTTTTTTTTCCTCCCCCCCGCCCCCCCTGCACATAGGTACTGTAGTACTTGATACAATCATTCCCGTACGACAGCTTGATTTTTGGCATGCTTGACAGCTGCCTTCAAACAAATACATTTTGGGGCTCTAAACTTTGGAGGAGACTTGGGGAGGCTCCACCTCAGAGGGAGCACATTCAGAAAGTTCTGAAATTGCTATTGCATGTTCTGGGCTGATCCTTTTAGTTAACAGAGAGGAAAAACAATGGCTTAAAAAAACAAAACAAAAAAAACCCCAACCAACAACCACCGTGCATGTGGAGCTTCCCACAGTGCCGTTGGGGGCAGGCTGGTTGCTCTGGAGTCTTCCTGAGGGCAAAGGCAGTTGAGATGCATTTGAGAAACAAAACAACTCTCATGGATCTGTTCTTTGGAGAGAGCATGGCCTCTTCTGGCTGGAAGGGGGGAAACACCGTGTCTGGGCGAGAGGGGGGTTCTTTTTCTAAAGCAAGGAAGAAGTGTTGCTTTTTTTTTTATCTCCAGGTCAAAGCCAGGGACCTGTTGTTGGGTTTTTTTTGTTTTTTTTTTTTTTTTTTTTTTAAGTTGTATGGGGAGAGAGTGCCTGCTTGTGTGTTTGGAGCCTGTGTGACGAGTGCCGTGGGATGTGATGCAAAGCACTTGTGTGTGTATGTTGCTTTTAATTTAAAGAGAAGCTGTTACGCTTGCAGCAGCCTGTTCCTGTCATACTTTGTACGTGTGCCAACGCTCTCCCTGCCGTGCACCTGGCTCCTGCCTGCCTCCAGCCCTCTCCGGTGCACTGGGATGTGAGTGCTGTTCTGCTGTTTCCTCCTCTCGTTGGGATTTTCCTGGCTGTGTATATAGACCTTGACCTGTTCTCTGTAGAGTGCATAGGCAATACTTTTCTGTCTCTTCCGCCCCCTCCTCTCCTTCTTTCCCTGAAACCAGACCGTCGGGGTGGCGGTAGGAATATGACTGTCTCTCCCCAGTGCCACTGGTATCCTTAGGGTGAGCTTCTGCGGTGTAGGGAGGCTGGTACGGAGAAGGGCAGTGAGATGCCGTTCTGTTCACTACAGCCTTGACCGCGTGTGCCGTTACACCAGTGCCCGGCTCAGGCTCTTGGCGCTACCTCTGCGTGTCGCAGGTACTTAGAGGCACTCGTGAGGAGCTCGTGTGCCGGGAGCTCACCCCTCCTTAGCAGGCTGGCAGCAGTGAGTCTCCAAAGCCCAAACTGGCAGCCGTCTTGTCATCTTACAGCCTCACTGGCCTCCGAAATGTAATTTCAATGTAATTTCTGGAACACGGTTTCAACACAATTACTTGTGTAATTGTTCACAATTGTTCACAAGTTCTTGCTGCAGGAGCACGGGGCTTGGTTTAAAAATCATCTGGTGGCCTCCCGGCCCCTCTCTTGTTGCTTGTTACATTCACTGGCACCGTTAAACTTTGTGTGGAAGGACCACGAAGCACTGAGGAGTTGTTAAAATTAAGTCGGATCATTAAGTTGACAAGCAGGCTTGAAGTGAAAGGCCACCTGCAGCAAGACATGGTCTGTCACGGGTGTCTGCGCCGTGTGATATCGCCCTGTTGGGCAGCAGAGCCTGGGGACAGGGGTGTTTACACCGGGGTGGAGGTGGTTGGTAGCTGCTGCGGTGGATTTTCTTGTCTGTTGTGGATTGTCTCCTGCCTAAATCCCGACACGGAGACCCCCGGGAGACGCTGCTTTCTCCTCCAGGAAGAAACAGCTGGTTGGGGTGGGGGACAGACACGAGGTCTCAGCCGTGGGGTGGTTTCACGCTGGTTTGTGCCCGTTCTGGAGCAGGAGGAGGGAGCCGGGCAGCCCAGCTGGAGCACGGGGTGGCACGGGGCGAGCGTGGCGCTGCTGGGACTCCCCGCTGCCCCGGGACTCCTGCAGGGGCGGCAGATGGAGGGGGTGGGTTTGCCTCTCGCCCTGCAACATGGGTGCTTTCCCCAGAGGAGTCCCAGGAGCTGCTGGGGCGGTGGGCAGCGCTGTCTGGGCACGCGCGGCCTCTGCTGAATCCGCAGCTCAGCGCTCCCTGCTCTCCCAGCATCCAGCTGCGCCCCGGGACGCTGCGGAGGGGGGACAGCCCCTCGTCGCTCTGTCCCCGCATCGTGCTCCTCTCTTACCGGGGACTTTCACAAATCACATCTCTCACTTTTCTCGCTTTGGAGCTGCCGTGGGAGCAGGTTGGCTCATCGTGACTTCTCTCATCATGCTTTGCAGGGAGAGCTAGTGATTTCCACGCCATGGCTGGTCTGCAGCTGAGCGCATTGGCTAACGAGCATGGCGAGAACGAGCTGTTCGGATTGACTTAGCTGTTAAAGCATGGCACAAACTCCTTCCCCCACCCTGCTCGCAGCTGCCAAGGCAGGAGTGGAGTTCCCAGAAGTGCTCTCTGCAGGTCTTCCACTGCAAGAGTGTGTGTTGGTGGGTGGGTGCGTGTGTCTCGGCGCATGTAGGCGAGCGGTGTGACGCCGTCGGCTGGCGGGAGCGTGCTGCGGTGTGTAACGTGGGGAAAAGAGCAAAGCTCATGTAAGCTTGTGTTTTTGGTGTGTGATCTGTAAGCACTGAACCGTGCGGGCGGGTTGAGCAAAGGGTCCTCCCAGAGTTTGTGTGATAAAGTCTGCGACCTTGTGGCATTGTTATATATATATATATATATATATATGGCATCATATGGTGGGGAAAAAAAAATAGGGAGCGCGTTGTAACTTTTCCATGTAAAGCAATCTAACTGGCATTAAACAAGTTGTGAATTTATGTCTCTTGGGCTTGGTGGCTCCACTTTGCTTTTCCACGGTGAGGTGAGGGGTACAGCGAGTCCCCGGGCACTCTGGAGCTGCCTCCCCCGCCCCGTTCAGAGGCCCCGGGGTCCCCGCAGCAGCTGCCCCTGGCTCTGGAGGTACCAGCTTTCTCAGCGCAGGTCTTGCCTGCGGTTTATTGCTCCCGCCTGCCCGCTCGTGTTTGCTTTCCTGCTGCTGGAAAAGCAGGGAGGCGCAGCCCCAGCCCTCCCTGCCCTGCTCCTGTTCTCCTCTGTGGGGCAGGAAGGGATCAAAGGTGCCCCTGCCCTGGCGCAGCCCCCCCATGGCCTCCCCCACCTTGGTGTGGGGCAGTTGCCAGGTGCCAATTCCGTCACTGTTCGCTCCAGGGCGGCTGCAGCGAGGCCGTGGGGCAGCACTGGGCACGGAGCTGGGGGAGCACAGCCCCTGGGTCCTGCAGGGCACCCTCGAGACGGAGGTCCTGCTGCCCCTGTACAGGTGGGACCCTCGCCCAGGGGAGGAGAAACCCCTGCCCCTTCCCTGGAGCCCTGTGCCATGGCCATGGCCCCTCCAGCCTGCCTGTGCCTCGGTTTCCCTGGGGTGGAGGAGGGAGGGAAGGCTGCCAGTGGGGATCTGGCTGTGGGGGGATGTGACAGCTCTTCTGCTGACCTCGCTGGCTCGGTCCCACCAGCTGGGGGGGTTCCCAGCCGTGCCTCGGTTTCCCTGGGGTGGAGGAGGGAGGGAAGGCTGCCAGTGGGGATCTGGCTGTGGGGGGATGTGACAGCTCTTCTGCTGACCTCGCTGGCTCGGTCCCACCAGCTGGGGGGGTTCCCAGCCCCCCATCAGATCCAGCTGTCTTTAAGGACATCCGCAAGTGGTTACGCAGCCTTGTACCCCCCGCAAGCGTGTCCCCTGCCCCGCTTGAGCCCTCGGGTCCTGCCGGA